AAGCAGCCTAGTTCTGCCAGAAAATTAGGGACAATGTGGCCTCATCCCTCACTTCTAAAGGTCTTCTGGTTTTGTTACTCAAGAATTGGTAACTATGCAGAGGTCAGATATTGGTACTATTTCTAAGACCATAGGTGAGGTGTTTAGATGCTGAGAATTTTTAAGGAAATAGCCCAGGTGGATAGGGGCTATGGCGTGGAGTCCACTTTGGCTGTGGTTAGCTGAGCTCCAAATCTTCTGTTTGGTCCTATAGCTTTATCATTACTGGCTATGGTGGCATATGTCTTTTCTTTTTTTAATTGGGTGAGGGGGGTTGAGAAAAGGTTTGTCTCTGTAGTCCTAGAACTCACTCTGTAGACCAGGCTGGCTTTGAAGTCAAAGAGATCCACCTGCCTGTGCTTCCTGAGTGTTGGGATTAAGGGGTGGGGGGGGGGGGGTGTGTGTGATGATTATCACTGAGGAAAAGATTTGAAGACTTCAACTAAGTATCTTCTGTGACTTGCTTCCTGTTTCTGTGCATTTTACCCATTCACGGCTTTTCATACAGATTAACACGGCGTCATGTGAGGGACACTGGGGAAGATTTGGACCCCTCTATCTTGGGACTCACAACTGTGTATTTGAATACTTGGCCTTTTATTGGTTTCTTTAAAAATGACTCAGGGGAGCCAGAGGCAGGCAGATCTGTGAGTTCAAGCCAGCCGGTCTGCATAGAAAAATCCAGATGAGCCAGGACTACACAGTGAGGCCCTGTCTAAAAAAAAGCAGCATGTGGAGAGTAGGCTAAAGAGATGGCTTAGTGTTTCCATAGCACTGTTTGCTCTTACAGAGAACCCAGGTTTGGTTCCCAGGACCCACATGGTCACTCACAACCACCTGTAACTCCAGTTCCAGGAGATCTGATGTCCTTTTCTGACCTCCATGGCATCAGACATATATGTGCTAGACATACATATATGCAAGCAAAACACACGAAAAATTTAAAAAATAAATATTTTAAATGGTCATTGTGAGCATCAAACTGTGAAAATTCTAACTGGAAACTAATGGAAGAATGAAATCTCTACAATAGTAGTAGTTAGATGTGTTCTGTGATGTTAGCATAGCCAGGCCAGGTAAGAGCCATTGGTACAGCAGATGGTGGTGGTGCACACCTTTAATCCCAGTACTCAGGAGGTAGAGGTAGGTGCATCTTTGTGAGTTTGAGGCCAGTGCAGTCTACAGAGTTATTGTTACCAAAGAAAGAAGCAAAGAATTGATCTCTTTGGAACTGTTCAATAATATAAAATGGAAAAGATGAAATAATAACAATTCATCTAACTTATCATTGGGCAAGTTCACCAGTGCGTTAGCCTGCTTGGGGTGGGGGGTGACCAAATTGTGTTTTTTGTTTTTGTTTTTGTTTTTTGTTTTTTGTTTGTGTGTGTGTGTGTGTGTGTAGTTAGCTTTGCTTAATTGTAGTTGAACTCAGAAGATCATCAACCTGAATTTACCAGTACTGTTAACACTGCTGAGGAAACCCTTTGTTGTATAACAGTCCAGATTGCCCTAGGAATAAAGTAGGAGATTACAATGTCCTGTGTTCACCTGGCATTGAAAACAGCTGCTTTACTTAGTAGTGTCTAGAAGCACTCTGAAGAACTGTGCCCCTCTTCCCCATGCTGCCCACATACTTCTTAAAGGATATAGATGTCTTAGTTTCAAGGAAGGCAAAGGATTCTTGGATGAAGGGTAAAGGTGCTACCAAAGGGTGGGTGACAAGTTGAGGGATGGAGCTGCAGTGACAGCAGTGGCAGAGATGGAAGGGTATTTATTATGGTCTGTTAATTAAAGAATATGTGCCTGCCTTGGTTTGCTCCTTCTCTGGCCTTGTGGTCTACTAGGCCCCATTGAAAAGGGTCTAAAAGAACATCAGTGCAAGTCAGCAAGTTCTGTCCAATGCTGCATGGCACAGTACCCTAGTGAAAGCTGAAGGCTATGGAGAAAGGTAAAGTCTCAGTGACTTAGTGAAGGAGAAATTGGTTTCTGCTCTGTCCACATTGTCTCTGTCCAGAGCACTGATTCCACACAGTTGTTGCGGTTGAGTGTGTCCACACTGACTATGGTTATCTGGATTTGGGAAAGATATTTCATGCTGTTTTCCTCTCTTTCAGGTTTCAAGTGCCCCATTTGCTCTAAGTCTGTGGCTTCCGATGAGATGGAAATGCACTTTATAATGTGTCTGAGCAAACCTCGCCTCTCCTACAATGGTAAGAGCTGTCTATCTCGTCTGCTTCCTGATGTCAAGAGAAGTTGGACAGTTGGGGCCTAGCCTCCAGTGGTTGGGCTCTGTATAGTGTTCTTTTAGCAGCAATACCTGTGTGGTGGTAGAGAACCTGCTGTTCCAGAGAGCCTTGGTTATAAGTTGGGGTGGCTGGGGAATGATCAAGGAAGGCAGGTCCCTGGTCAGGGCTATAGTGGTGAGAAGGCTCTCAGCACTTTTGAGTATCATGTCCCTACTCAAAAATTTCAAGGACTAGAGATGAAGGTCAATGATAGAATGCTTACCTAACATGCACAAGACCCTGGATTCCATTTTAGCAACACCCCCCAAAAAATCATATTTTGTAAATTTTAGATTTTCCAACAAGATTTATGTTCTTATATCTCTTACTTGCTGGCCAAAGAATCCCAGTTGCAGGAGGGCATGTTATCTGTCTTGGTGCATGCAGCCTGAAGCCCTCTGGGCATGCCAGAAGCCAGCTGCAGGGCAGGCTGTGGCCCTGTCTTTCTCCCCAATGAGCCCCTCTTTTCTCCAGCAAACAGCCTTTCCTTCTCTCTGTGACTGCCATGCTCTTGGGTCTTTTGCTTTAGCCTTCCCCTGTTCAAGCTTGGCTTTGTCCCTGTTACCCATCTCTGCCTGGGACCATGGAAGGAGAGTGGTTTTCCCTGTGTCTCATGGCTTGCCACAGTCATGGCCTCAGTACTGTATGCTCTTCTGTCCCACAAGAAGACTGTTTTGTCTTGTGGGTTGCTAGCAAGAGCTCTCTGGAGACACTGCCTTTGCTGTCATAGCACAAAGCAGCTTCACAGGGGGCTTGGCCTGAGAGAACTTGGCTTTTAGAGTCGTTGGGGAGAACTGTATAATAATATATGTGACAGACAAAGTGCTGTCAGGACTATGCAAAACAGTCACCTGGAATGCTAATGTGGGAAATGGGGAAGGTGAGGGTCCCCAGCCCCTTTCCCAGGAAGCCAGGTCTCCCTGTGCACCATCACTAGAGTGCATGGCTGGTGCTGCTGGTCCACCTCACCAGCAGCCAAGGAAGTCCTCTTGGAGCAGTGCTTTTCAGCCTTCCTAACACTGCCATCCTTTGATACAGTTCCTCATGTTGTGGTGATCCCAGCCATGCAATTATTTTCATTGTTACTTCATAACTGTAATTTTGCTAGTGTTATAAATTGTAAGTATCTGATATGCAGCCCCTGTGAAAGGGTCATTCAACCCCAAAGGGATCAGGACCCACATATTGAAAACCATTACCTTACAGGAAGGGAAGGTAGGCTAAGACAGAGCCACTGTGGTTCCCCCTCTCATCCTTTTCACAAGCAGCCACCTCTCCCTGTCTGGGAGCTACAGACTTTCAGTTCAGGGATGTCTTGTAAGAGCCAGTCTTTTCCCACCAGAGGTAGGGAGGCTAGTTACCTCTAGCCCTTGAATAGAGCTTACCCTGAGGTGATGGAAAGGTAAGCCATGTCTGGCTCCTCTGTAGACATGACTAATGTAAAATGGAGGCTGTGAAGACACTAGATATAAAAGGACATTGTTTGGGGCCAGATGTGGTGCCTCTCGCCTTTAATTCCACCACTCTGGAGGCAGATGCAGGCAGATCTCTGATACACAGAGAAACCCTGTATGTGTGTGTCTGGGGAGGGGTACTGTTTGCTACCTGGGTTTGTGTGTGACTAGAGTGCCCAGGATATGTTTTGAATTCAGACTTAGGCCAAAGAGTCCAAGGCAAGAACTCTGGGCTTGCTTGGTTTTACTGGTAACATATTCTACCTAATTCTCTATCACCCCAATCTCACTTTAGCTTATCAACTTTAAAAAAAAAAAAAAAAAAAAAAGTAGCAGCAGCAGGTCCAAAAAGATGACTCAGCAGTTAGGAACTTGGCTGCTCTTACAGGGGACATGAATTTAATTCCCAGCGCCCATGTGCCAGCTCATAGACATCTGTAACTCCAGTTACAGATTCCAAGGGATCTAATGCCTTCTCCCTTCCACAAGCACCAGGAACACCTGTGCTACACAGACATACATACAGGCAAAACATCTATACACATGAATAAATCTTTAAAGTAAACTTTTTAAAAGAAAAGAGTAAGGAGGAAATCTCTGTAAGCCATGAACTCTTGGGATCTCTCTGTAAAAGGGCAATGTGAAGCTTGCTTCAGTGGTGGTGTAGTTGTTTTCTCATGAAAAGTGACCAGAGGAACTGCAGAGTTGGCTCAGTGGTGAAGAGCACTTGTTCTTGGTAAAGGACCCAGTTTAAGCCTCAGCACTCACATGGAGGTTCATCACCTCCTTGGACACCAGGCACACATGTGGTGTGTAGACATACATGCAGGCAAAACGCTTATACACCCAAAATAATGAAATAAATCTTTAAAGAATTTTAAGTGACTAGAGGGCTGAGAACGCAGCTCGTGCATGCCTATGGTGTGTGAGGCTCATGTTTCATGTTCAGAGTAGGAAAAAGAGAGTGGAGAGAGAGTAAGCACTAGTGAACTGGAAAGCAAGCTCTGGGAGACCTACACGTGCACACACATTCACTCACACCTTCCACAGTCACCAGCACCAATTGAGGAAATTACTATAAAATTTATGATAGTTTGGTAAGATGAAATTTAGTTAACCACCAATGAAAAAAAAGTAAGAGCCTCCAAAATGAGGCAGGTATAAAGTAGTATTTTTCTTATTATGAGGGCTGGCCCAAGTGGAGGGTTGGAAGGCCTCCAGTAGTTGCCTGCCAGATTATTTTTTAAAATTTAGGGAAAGCAAGATCAGATTTACTGGTCCAACCAGTGCCCAGAGAAAAAAAGAACTGGCCCCCTCGTGCTGCTAGGGCAAGGACTCACACTTGGGAGGCCAGTGACCATCAGATCCCCCGCTGGAGGCACAGGGAGACAAGCCCTTCACAGCAGCCGTTACTATTCTTACCTTCTGGGCCCTCCTGTGGCAACCTAGGACTCTAGAAACTGAGGGAGTTACAGAGAAGAGAGGAAGGAGGTAAGGAGCCCTCTGGGTGAACTTGATTGCCTTCAATACCTGTATCTTTCTCTTTCTAAAATCTCTGGCCATCACACTGCCCGGCTAGCAGTACAGAAGCTCCTGAGATGGAGGTATGACTTTTCCTTAGCAGAAGAGCATTGTACCAGACAGAGGTGATGACTCCTTTAATTCCAGCACTCAGGAGGCAGAGGCAGTTGGATCTCTGTGAGTTCAAGGCCAGCCTGATCTACATAGTGAGTTCCAGCGAAACCCTGTCTTGACAAATAAACAAACATGGATGAGGAAGAAAGAGAAAGAAAGGAGAAATATTCCAGTGAGGCAGGTGTTCAGCATCAGGACATGGTGACCAACCCGTTGCTCCAGGAGATTCTGGGGTTCTGTTCTGGGGTACAGGCCCATGCCTGGCTTCTTGCTTTGTGATCTTCTCCGCCTTCTTTGCCCTGTGTTCGGATCTCTGAAAGTGCTTTTGTGTGAGCTCCTTCCTTTCTCCCTTTCTCCCTCCCTCCCTTTGCATTTACTATATGTCCCTGGGAGTGCACTCCCACATGTGGGTGTATGCCATTGCACAGTGGAGGCCCAAAGACAGCATAGTGGACTATGTGGATTCCAGGGATTGGACTCAGGTTGTCAGGCTCTGCAACTTACCAGTGTACTTTCTTGGAGGATGTGGGACATGCATGTGCACATGTATGTGGGTACAAGTAAAGGCCAGAGGTTAACATCAGATGTCTCCCTCATCTTTAGATTTACTTTTTTATTTTATGAATGTTTCACCTGCATGTATGTGTGTACACCAAATGATGCCTGGTACCCTTGGAGGTCAGAATAACGTATCAGATCCTCTAGAACTAGAGTTACTGATGTTGTGAGCCTCTAGGTGGGTGCTGGTAACTGAACCCAGGTCTTCTGCAAAACCAACAAGGAAACTTTACTGAACTATCTCTTCAGTCCCTTTTCTTATTTTTTGAGATGGGATCTCTCACTGAACCTGGAGCTCACAGATTTAGCTACATTGACTTGCTAGGAATCCTTATCTCTAACTCTTTAGTGCTAGAATTAGAGACACATGCCAAAATGCTGGGTTTTTAGATAAGTGCTGGGAATATGAACACATATTGTGCCTAAGTGGCAGGCACTTTACCAACCAAGTTATCTTCCTAGCCTGTATAAGCTCTAATAAAATCCAGGAGTGTTGGGACAGGATACCTCTGCTGCTAGGAAACACTGTGCTTAAGATTTTTGTCTGGAGAGTAGGACATTCCAGCATTGCTAAGAAAGGAGTCAGAGATACTTTGGCCTGTCTGCCAACACATTGGGCCAGTGGCAGCTCTATACTTGCCAGAGATGAAATAAGACTAGACTCTCACCTGTGCCTAAGCTATACCTTCTGCTGGGTGTTTTCCCTTTGGCTTCCATCCTCCTTACTGACATGCCGCAGGGGAAATGTAGATGCATGCCCCTGCTCTTAGCCAACTCTGAGCTGCATCTTAGCCTTCCCTCCCAAGCCCCATTCCACCAAGAGTTCTGGGGCCCCTTGATGAGTGCCTTGCCATAGCACTTCATGGGTCAGCTAAGTTCTAGGATGTCAGAGACAACAGTGCTGACCCTCAGACTGCCCTGTCCATTCTAAGTACCCCCATACACATCAAAGAAATGGAAAGGTTAAGCTCCCTGTGAGATGGGTAGTATTTTTAAGCCACAAGGGAAGTCGCTCTCGTGGCCTGGACCTTTAAAGGAAACAGGTGGGGTGGCAAGAACTCAGGCTTGAGGGTAGTGGCCACTTAGCTGCATAAATGTCCCTCTTCCTTGGTCTGCAGGATTCTCTGAGATTTCTCTGAAGTTCTTGGTCTATAGCTGGCTCAGGAAAGCCTTTTCCTTCTCCTCTTCTTCCTCTCCCTCTTCTTCCTCCCCCTCCTCTTTTTCTTCCTCCTCCTTTTCTTCCTCTTCCTCCTCCTCCTCTTCCTCCTCCTCCTCGGCTTTTCTGTGACAGATGACAGGTATCAAAAGTGCCCTACCTGAACTTAGAGAACAGAGAGGCCTCCTCCTCCATCCCTACGCATCACAGGCTTTACGTCTCCTGTTTGGGCTGTTCTGAGTTGGTTTCCTTGTGTGGTCAGAGGCCCTGGTAGTAGTACTGTCTGGTACTAGCCCAAGCAGGCCACACCTCCCCATGGGCAGTGACATTGGTTGGAAGCAGCTCCAGAGGCACCAAGAAAAGAACAGAACCCAAAGGCAAAGCTCCCCTTTGTTCCTCTCTTTTCACTGTCAAGAGTTTGCTGACCTTCCTCCTCCAGGGCCCTGGACATGTCAGGGAGCACTTGAATTCTGGCTTTGTGCCACAGAGTCCCTTTCAGGTGAGTGTGGAAGTCTCACAGAAATGCTTGATATCCAAGCCTCTGCTTCAAGATTCCAAATCCCCTTTCCAATCCCAGGGACATGAGGTAGCTGCTCGTTCTCTGAGCCCTGATGATTGAATCCAGAAGTTTTAAAGAGACCTCTTAAAGAGCCCTCTGCTCCCTGGGTTCTGGGCTAGTTGTGGGCACTACTAGATTCCCCACACTGTCAGATTCTAAGCCTTCCTTTTTTCATTACATTGCGGGGGTGCTCAGAGGACAACTTGGCAGCAGTTGCTTTTCTCCTTTCACCATGTGCATCTGGAGAGCAAACTCAAGTCTTCAGGCACCGTTATGCACTAAGCCATGTTGACAACCCAGATTCCAAGCCTCTTATTCCTTCAGGCCACCATAGAACCTCCAGATGGCCTTTCACAGCCTCAGTCCCAGTGCTTTGTGCTCCCTGCTTTGTGTCAGCCTAACAGGGCAACTACAAGGTTCTGTTCTTCATACCATGCTGCAGACACCAAGGCTGGCTAGTAAGGTACATAAAATTGCTTTGTGAAGAGGCCATAAAAAGTCTACTTTAATCAGCAGGTGTTTAAGTCTGGGTCTGCTAGTCCTTCATTGACAAGTGTTCAAAGCTCTACCTGTGGAGACTAAATGAATCATCCTTGTTTTCCCCGCTCTTGTTTGATGTACATTTTGTAGAAAGAAAAGTCAAGTCAGTCCTGTTGAGGAAGAAAGCCTCTGAGCCCAATCTCCATATCTTCTCCCCACCCCACACTAGTACCCTGGGGGCCACACGGACTCTCAGAGCAGGTACAGATGGAACAATGAGCACAGACTGTCTGGAAAGCTGTTGGGGACACAGAGGAGTTTAATTTGCTCCTTGAGTTCACTGCTGAGTTACCCACTGGTAGGGTGATTCCGAAGAAAAACTGTTTTGCAATCTGGAAGAAAGGTGGCCAAAGGGTATGAAGGATTATAGTCTGAAAGCCCATGTCAGGGGTTAGATGTCCCAGAGAATGGGGAAGAAATGACTAAGGGTACCTCCAGAACAACTCCACCTCTAGACTGAGCATATTTTTGTTCTCCAGCATGTTACCATGAAAAGCATCAGGCATATCAAAGTTGAAAGCCTTTGTCCCTTGGGTCCTGCATTGTGTTATATCTCCTTTGTCTGTCTTACCTTTTGAACACATTCTCAAGTAAAATGCAAATTCTAGTTGTCTTAGTCACTGTTCTATTGCTATGTAGACTCCATGACCACAGCAACTCTTACAAAGTAAAACATTTAATTGGAGCTGGCTTACAGTTTCAAGGGTTTAATACATTATCATGGTGGCAAGAAGCATGGCAGCATGCAGGCAGACATGATGCTGGAGAGATAGCGGAACAGCTATCTGAAACAGCAGGAAGAAAGAGGCACTGAGCCTGACTTGAGCATTTGAAACCCCAAAACTCATCCCTAGTGACACACTTCCTTCAGTAAGGCCATTATCTCCTAATCCCTGTCAGGGCACACCACTTGCTAGTGACCAAGCATTCAAATATATGAGCCTATGAGGGCCATTCCTATTCAAACCACCTCATCAGTGAACTTTTTAAAATTTATTTTCGTTTGTTTGATTGGTTTGTTGTTGTTGTTGAGACAGGGTTTCAATGTATAGCCCTGGCTGTCCTGGAACTCACTCTGTAGGCCAGACTGGCCTCCTAAGTGCTGGAATTAAAGGCATATGCCACCACTGCCCAACTGAATATATTTTATGGGTTCTTAATAGTTTTCTTTCCACCAAAATAATTAGGACTCAAACAACAGTGAGAAGAGAGGTCACCACAACAAAGGACCCCAATCCTGGACCATTCTCAAGTCCCCTGACATATGTTTTCTCTGGGTTTCCTCATTCACAAGATGAACATGACACTGTGTCCCATGCCTAGCTTGGAAGATCCTGCAGCTCAAAGGAAAACATAGACACAGAGTATCATTATGTATTACTATTACCTTTTGGGACTGATGCCCCATGGGGTGGAAAGTGATCTAAGCTCGCCTTCCTGAACAGCCATAGCCTGCTCATTTGGTGTTGTGTTATGGTTTGGGGGGACTTGGGTGTGATCCATGTCACCTCTGCATTATCAGGCCTGTCTGTGGCTTTATTGGAGTTTAGTGTAAACTTTCTCCTTGGACAGTCTCTTTAGTCTGTTCTCTGTACATGTTGCCCCACATCTAATCTGAACCCCACATCTAGACTAAAGGATACTTACAGCCTTGTGGAGATACTCAATAGTCACCTCTGGATTCATCACTCTCTATTCTTCCCTTTTCCTGTGAAGTCTCTTAATGGCATATGCAGGCTATTGCCTGACCCTTGTTAGCACATGTGCTGTTGCTCCATGCTCAGAGTTGGCCTCCAGAGTGAGCTCCCTTTTCCACCTCTAGTGCCTCCTGGCTAAGCAAAAGAGATGAGGTTCAGCATAGCACAGCACAGCACAGCACAGCACAATTCTGCCCTTGGGACTTGATTTCACCCCTGCCTAGGACTCTTTGAGTCTCTTTGCAACCTGTCTTAGCAAACTTCTTGAAGTTCCTGGGTGTCTGACAGTTTCCTTTGTCTGGAATGTAATCCCTCCCACCCCAGACTATGCCTTTGGCTCATATTACTGTGAACTTCTCCAAAGATGTCCTTGAACAGTCTGAGTAAGCACTGTTTTCTTCCATACCCCTGATGCTTGGGCTTCTGGGTCAGAAGGCTCTTCTAATGATTGCGTATTCCTCCCATTGCTGTGTTCCCTAGCACATGAAGCATAGTGGTTTAGATAATACAAGTAGTTCTAGACCTGTGTTTGCTCTGTGCCACCCACCTGCTGGAGATTAACCCTGTTGGTCTCCTTGTCTCTCTTACAGATGATGTGCTGACTAAAGATGCGGGTGAGTGTGTGATCTGCCTGGAAGAGCTGCTTCAGGGGGACACGATAGCCAGGCTGCCTTGCCTGTGCATCTATCACAAAAGGTACAAGGGGTAGATTGCCTTCACCAGCCATCCAGTCCTCTTTGGTTATGGGATGGCCTGTATACCCTTTACTCTCTGATAGGAGTCAGGCATCTTCCATGCTGGTGGGAGGCTCAGTCATTGCAAGGGCAGGGGGGAGGTGAATTGCCCAAGGTTCAGCTCTGCTTCAGCAGTTCAGATGGTAGAGCCATGGGCAGACCTAATTTAGATCCCACCTCTGAACCCTATCTGGCAGAGAGAGAGGTAGCAAGGGTAGAATGGCTATTCTTGCTGATCTGCACAACACCCTCCTCCCCCAAGGGCCAGGAGGCAGGAAAAGCCACTACCTGTAAGTACCAAAAACTGCTATAATTAGCCAGGTCAAGATTTGTCCTTTGCCTTCAGCAGTATCCTTCTGGGGTTTTTGTTTGTTTGATTGATTTTCTAACTGGAAAAATGACACCTCCTTGCCCAGGACAGGAGTACACCCTGTGTTCCTGTGGCTACCATCTGCTTCTCCAGCCCACAGTTTCCTAGTATGGGGGCTTTTCTAAGCCCAACCTATGACTATTGGTCTTTGGTGTCATAGCTGTGCCTGGTGTGTGATTGACCTACGGGGGAACTGTGGTTCTTGTTTTGGTTACCACCATAGATCCCTGTATCATCCCAAAGGGGCACTAACCAGAACCAGGAAGACATAAGCAAATTATCTGTTTGGTTACTCTCTTTAAAAATGCCCAGATGTGGGTTTACACATCAGGACAGTTTCTTGAGGCACTTGCTGTTTCTTCTTTGATGCAGACAGACCTCTATAAACTCTAGAGAGTGAGGCCTTCCTACACTGCTTCCCAGGCTTCCTTATTTAGCAGTGTCAAAGAGCCCAAGGGTCTAGCTCCCCTTCCTACTGTTGTAGCTAAGCTAGGAAGGCTTGGAGCTCCTGAGAGGGGTGCCCTCATCGCCCCAGATCTGGCCATGCTTATCGCTGCCAGCCTCTCATCTGGTCCCACTTCCTGCCGCTCCTTAGAAACAGGTAACAGGCTACCATATGTAGTCCACCTGCTTTCACCTTCTTAGTGTTAACTGTTGCTGTCCTGGCTTCTTGTACTTGGGATTTGGGCCACTCTTGTCCTTTCTGCAAAGTCAGATCTACCAGAGCCTGCCCTACTGCCCCTGCCTCCTGCTGAGCCAGGATCATTCTTGGATTTTTTTTTTCTTCTTAAAAAACTTATTTATTTGATTTATTAAGGCAGGGTCTCACTATGTAGATTAGGCTGGCCTTGAACTTACAGAGATCACCTGCTTTTGCCTCCTGAATACTGGGGTTAAAGTTGTGTACCACCATCATACCCACCTTATTTTATTTGATGTGCATATACTTACATGATGTGTGTGCCTGGTGCCCACTGAGACCAGAAGAGGGCATTGAATCCCCAGGAGCTAGAGTTAAAGATGTTTGTGAGCCACTATGTGAGTGCTAAGAACTGAACCTTGCTCTTCTGAAAGAGCAGCTAGGGCTCTTAACCACTGAGCTATCTCCCCAACCCCCAGGGTCGTGTGTGTATGTGTGTGTGTGTGTGTGTGTGTGTGTGTGTGTGTGTGTGTGTGTGTGTGTTAGTGTTATAATGTGTGTGTGTGTGTTATAATATATGTGTGTGTGTTATAGTGTGTGTGTGTGTGTGTGTGTGTGTGTGTGTGTGTGTGTGTGTGTGTATTAGTTTTAAATTGTGTGTATGTGTGCGCATCTGTGTGTACATGCATCTGAGTGCAGGATCCTACCAAGGCCAGAGGAGTCAGATCCCCCTGGGGTTGCCTTTATGGGGCTGTGAACTGAACTTGGATCATCTGGAAGAGCAGTGTGCACTCTCAATCACTGACCCTACTCTCCAGCTCCACCTCCACCCCTGTACATTCATCATTCTTGATATTGTTCCCTTTCCTGCAGCAACGAGTAATGATTTTCCCCCGGGGTCCTTTCAGGAGAGATTTAGAAAGTCCGTCCCGAGAGTCTAACCCCTTGACAGGCGCCCTTGGCAGGAGCAGTGTTGTCAGCAGCTGATGTGTCTCCCCTTGGTACCCACTCCAGCTGCATAGACTCCTGGTTTGAAGTGAACAGATCTTGTCCAGAGCATCCTGCTGACTGACCCTGCTGGGCTGGCTTGCTGACTCCTCTCAAAGGTGAGCCTATAGTTGGTGGGGACTCTGGACTTAAAGGGTCAAGTTTCTGGGAGCTGGGGGAGAAGGGCCAGGCTGCCTGATACACACCCCTCCAAGGAGAAGCAGAAGCAGAAAGACAGGAGCAGTTCCCAGGATGTGGAGGAGTATCCTGGGGAAACATAAGAGAGGACAGTAGCATACTCGTGAGGAACTCAATGCAGAGGTGGAAACACATTGCTTTCCCTAAGGAAAGGCAGGACTATCCCCTGCAGAGTGCATTGGCTGAAGCGGAAGAGCCCCAGCCAGGCTCTGCAGCTGTCTCATTCCAGCAGCTGTCTCATCCCTGCTCACCTCTTAGAGGCGGGCTCCATGGGCCCATTTCTCTAGAAATGGAAAATGCTAAGTAGAGGGCCTGTGGAACTTACACTGTCCACTGCAAAGTGCTTGTCTGAGGTCTTTTCACCCGCTGGCCACCTTACCCCATTTCTAGGGAATCTGGGGGTTCTGGGCCATACTCAGCACAGTATCACAATGACAGCAGGCCAGCGTGACAACTCCCTCCCACACATACATAGGTGTCTCCAGTGTAACTGTTCATTTCCTCCCCAGGCTACCTTGTTCCCTGCTGACCCCTCTCCTGTCTCCACCCTACCTGTGCTTTCTGAGGTCTATGCTAGCATTCTCTCCCCCCACTTCCCTCCCTCCCTCCCCCCTCTCTCTTCTCCTCCTTCCCTTTCTCCCTCTCTCTGCCCCCTCCCCTTTTTCTGGTAAACAAAGCATAGGTGCCAGTAAAACCAATAGCCCATTTCCACTTCATCTCATATCCAAAGGTTTGGGGGGATCTCTTTTCTTCTCTTTCTCTCCTTTGTTCTGTTTTCTTTTGTTAGGTTTATTTTATTTATTCCAAGTAAATGCCCAGACCAGCTGACGGTGTCAGGCAAATCAGGGACATTTGCTCTTTTTACCTTCACCTCACAATCTGATGACAAGGGGAGAAGACAAAGCAAGGGTGAGAGTGAGGCAGAGGGATTGGACTCTGGCTTCAGAATGCAGGTCCAAATTGCCGGCATGATGTTTGGCTTCCGGGGGCCTTCCTGGACTGAACCAGCTGCCCCTCCCGACCAGCCTGCCCTCAGGGGGCCACACTGCTGCCACGGTGAGATGCAGCAGCAGCTCTCGGCCAGATGGAGCACGACTGACTTCTTCCGACCCACACAGGAACAGACAGCCCTGTTCTGAGAGGAGGCTCCTGGGACACTGGACAGAGCTGAGTTTGGGACACCAGAGGGAACAGGGCACCCCTTCTGCACTGACTTCCAGAAAATGGTCCTCCCTCCTCCCTGAGGACACCCAGCTGGATGAGAGCGAGTCTGAGAGAAGAATGAATTGACCTCTATCCTTCCCCTCACCCTCAACCCAGGAGGGAAAGGGCATTTTCTTTTTCACCTTTGAAAGGCGTTGTGGGTCTGTCTTTAAAGTGTTTACAACAACAACAAAAAAATTATATAAAAAAGTCTAGTGTCGACTGGTGTTTTCCCTCGTGATGTTTACAGATTGCTGTTTGCTGCCCAGCTAACACCCACTCAGTGACAGAACCAAGCATAGCCATGTCTTCACCGCTAGCACTGACAGCGGGCAAGCGGGCGGGCACACGGTCACTTCCTTTGCCCAACGCCCCAGTTGGTTCTCTGTGTCACCAACCTTTCTACTTTGGGAGATTTGGGTGTTTTTTGTGTTTGTTTTTGTTTTCTTTTCTTGTTTTTTGTCCCATCTTTCTGGCTTGGTTTTGCACTTGTCTCCCCTTAGTACTCTGATATCTTGATGTCCTTGCCAAAAAAGAAAAAGGAAGACAAAGAAGAGCCCATCAAGGGTACTTCCCCAGGCCATTCCCATGTCTTCCCTGCCTTTCCTCCTGGATCTGGTCCAATCAGAGGCTTTAACAATCACAAATACACTGAAAGAAATGCCTGGACATTTTTCTTAGGCCCTTGTGGGTTTTTTGTTTTTTGTTTTTCCTTCTTCTGAGAAAACTTAGACTTACTAAAGGAACATGTACTGCTACCCCTCTCAGGCACACTGAGAACATTTTAGCCATTGGTGTTCACACGTGGCATCAGCCCATGCAGGATAGGTTTCTGTATTTATATATTAAAATACAAAAAAAAAAAAACCTTACAAAATGTTTTAAAATTGTTCAAAGCTCGGGAGAAAAGCTTTTCTTCATCAGTCAAGGTGTTTTGATATGGTATTAAAATAATGTCTAATAAAAGATGCACCGTGTGATCTTATTTTAATGAAGTGTTGTTACACAATCAAGAAGTGGAGAGCAAAGGCCAGTTCCCTCTGTCCACCTCCCTAGCACAGCTCTTCTTCAGCACCTGTAGTGGCTCTCAGCCACACCTGGGCAGAGAGACTGGACAATGGTGGTTCAGGTGTGTCTTTCAAGATTATGAATTCTTAAGCATGGTGGAGTAAATTGTCAGTCTACTGTCAATGATGATTGTAATGGAATGTTTCTGGGAAGATACTCAGGGGCAGAGATCTTGCACTCATCAGGTTCTGCAAGGTTGTGGGCACCTCTGGGTGCCAGCCCAGCCAGTCCCTCACCACCTCTGCTCCCCATCCTGCATTCTGCTCGCCTGTGCTCCATCCACAGCTCAGTGCTGACTCATGGGCATGCTTCACTGAGGCCCAGAAAGAGGCCCTGTTTTGGAGCTGTGCCAGCTCACAGTCCCTGAACCAGAACCAGTCACTCAGCCTCATAAAAGTTGGCAAGTTGCAGGCTGGGCAGGAAACTCAGGGCAGGGGGCAACAATGTGTGCCTGCCCGACTCCTAGCCAGGTTCCAGGAGTTGCATTTCAGGGCCTCCTGCAGAGCCAGCTAAGGAAAGCTCTGGAGCAGGATGGCTATATATCTCTGCCATGACCATTTCCAGACCTGCCCCAGTCCCAACAGGCCCTCGAGTTTGGACTGTGTTGCTGCTGTTCTTGCTCTGGGTCACCTTTCTTTCCTCAGATGCTTCCTGAAGCAACTACTCTGCAAGGACATTTGTTGGAGGCCAGTGGACACATGTGAGCCAAGGCAGTCAGGCAAGCTCAGAACATAGTGCTTTCGAGCCCAAGTGTTGAGACCTCGGGATCTGAACTGTGAGCAGCACTGTTAATACTAGAAACTGGAATGTCTGTACTGGGGCACTTTACTTCTTGGCAGAATGGGGAGGAAGTAATTTCATCTGAACTTGCTTGGTTCCTTGCCTGTGAAGTGGAGTGAGGGTCAGAGATATGCCCCAAGGCCTGGCACATGTGCAGCAGGCTTCCTTGTTGCTTTGTCATTGCAAAGGGAGGGCACTCTTCTATTCCCAGCACCGCCAGCTTCTGCCTGGCAACTGTGTCTCCCTGTTCTATATATAATCCTACCAGCAGAGCTGGCGGGGCAGGGCCCAGCCCTGAAAGCAATCTCCTTGTCTGACCCCTGGGCCTGGAGACAGGCTTTCTGTGCCCACCTTGGCTGTGTGCGCCCGGCTGCTTTGGCAGTGCTGTGGCTGAGTCTGGTGGTTGAGTTGGTTGGGGCAGCACTGGGCCCCACACTGGGTGCTATTCTAGGCTCTCTAGGCGGTGCTCATTTCATCCCCAGTGACTTCCACCCCCACCCGGCACACCAAAGCCCTCTGTTGGCTGTCATGTCCTCTAAATGTGGACCCAGATTTGCCAGTGCCTGGTGTGAGGGTGGACTAGGCTTGTCTGGGCTTCCCAGGTGGCACTTGTGTTTGTCACCTGCCATCCAGACAACTCTCTAGAATCCTATGTTGCTCCTGCTCTGCCTTTCTGAGAGGGAAGAAAATACGCAAGAGCCAAAAGATGGGTTCTTCCCCTTTTTGCTCTTAGGAGCCCAGAAAAACCCGAGAGCTTCAGGAGCCCCTTTTGAAAACCGCCCATCTGATAGCCATTTAGTAGTATTGAAGCTCATAGGAGAATGTCCTTCTTAGGAGATAGATGCTGAATTATATAGTTGAGTGATTTCAAGAAATGCATAATCTAACCCCAGAGGGTTCCTCCCCCCAAAAAAAATACACAAAGCAAATAAGGCAAAAATGTCCATTGTTGAATCTTCGACAACTGATATTCCAGTGAATAGTGTACTTGTTCTTTCAACTTTTCTGTATGTTTGGAGTTTTCTTTAATAAAAGAAATTGTGGGGAAATGGCTGTTTATTGAGTGCCTACTAGTTGCCTGTTACTAGAGGGTTTGTGTAGGAGCCCTGCCCAGTGGAACTCAATTTGGGAGAATTTGTGGGAGGGGCAAGCAGTCTGTCTCTGGGGCAGGGTTCACTCAAGCTCTCTTTCCCTGGTGATAGAGCGATGATGTTTGGATTTCTACACCCTGCAGTGGTTTGGGAGGAAACCGTGAGACAGACATCACAGAGAAAGGGTCCTTGGAACTGAAGTCAGACTGAGAAAGTAATGGGTGGTGGCCTCTGCCCAGGAGCATGGTGGGAAAAGTGGTTAGGAGCAAGGAGGTGCAAGAGGCTGTTGTTTGCCCTGCCTGTAGCTCCTTCCTATTTTCTTGTTTTTCCAACCCAAAAACCGAGGAGTAGGGGATATGGTACTACAGTTGACTGGGACCCACAAGAGGTAAAAGGTCTAGAGACTGACCACCTGGCCCTGGAAGGTGGGTGGCCCAAGGCTGGGAACTGAAGCTACTAGCCCAAGAGTGTGGCTGTCCGTAAGCAGATGCTGTTTCGGATTTGTGGAGTCATGTGCCCTCTTGTGGACTTCTGGAGAACAACTGCCATGTACCTCCAGACAGGCGCTCTGGCCAGGGAATCTCAAAACTGCCAGGCCCCAAAGTGAACAAGACCCTGACTTTGAAGGTAAAAGCTGGTGAATAATGCATTATACCATGGAGAGTGTAGTACGCAGAAGATGGTGTCATCTCCATTTTTAATAGCCTGTGTAGCAGCAGTTTGAAGAGATTGTTCCAGTCCCAGCCTGGTGGGGAAGCTGTCCTAAGTAACCTCCACCACAGGTGGGCCTTCTGCTTCAGGTACGTCAAAGCAGAGGTGTTGGGACTGGCTTTCTTCCAAAGATGAACTCCATCCACCTTCCCAGGCTACTATTAGTCTGAGAGGACAGGCCCCAAACAAATGGCTTAAGGGGGAGAGGATACAGCTGCAATAGGGTTCACATTTGTGGGTGATGGGGACAGGGTGAAGGCCTGACTGTGTGGAATGGAAGACTCCTTCCCTGTGCAGAAAAGGGGTGTTCTAGCCCTGTGTACAGGATGAATCATGATGCTGGACACCAACAGGAGAGGCCTCCACAGAGGGATCTGATCTTAGGTTCGGAGTAGACCCACACCATCTCTGCCAGCCAGGAAGAAACACCGTGGGTTTTCTACGGGAGCAAAAGGCTCACAACGGCAAGGAAAGAGCCCCGGCTACAGAGAGATACCTGGCAGGCAGAGATGGCATCAGTCATTCTTTTTCTTGCAAAGTCAGTGGCATGAAGAGAAGGTCCAGAAAAGGGGCTCTGCATCCTGGGGGTTATGGGTCACCAAGTGTTCCAAGTTCCTCATAACACTTTGCCTGGGTTCATGAGACCTCGGGGATCCAGTGTGTCTTTGAGCTGCCTCATAGTCTGCACGCCCACTGTACCAACTTCTTCTTGCAGCAGCCGCCGCTTGCCCAGCCCGATGCCATGCTCTCCGGTGCATGTCCCATGGAGTGCCAGGGCACGCCTAGATCAATTGAAGGACCCTCAGCAGCCTCTTCTCTGCCTCTGCCCTCCCCCAACCCCGACCCTTCCCGAGCTCAGCCCTTACCTGCCCAGGTTTTCTGCAAAGGCCTTGACCCTGCTCTGCTCCTCTGCATCATCTGGGTTAACCAACATGATGCAATGAAAATTGCCATCACCCACATGCCCAACGATGGCTCCTGGGGGCGCAGAGAACAAAGCCATCACCGCTAGCCTCCTTGTCCAGGCCTTGGCTCACCCCCAATGCCTCCCAAACAACAAGTATGTAGTACAGAACCTGTGAGTTTTGAGGCCTTAAGCTCCTCCTTGGTCTCTACCACAATCTCCGGCAACCGAGAGATGGGCACACACACGTCCGTAGAATAGGCCTGAATCAGAAGGCAAGCTTGTGTGGGTCTCCCTATCACCTGTTGCCTATCTACAGGTAAGCAATCACTGTGGCTCAGGCCTAGGGACAGCCCAAGGGATCTTGATGGCATAGAATGAAACATCTAGCCTTTGTGTGTTCATTAGCCCAGGTCTCCATTACTCCCCTGAATCCAAGTCTGGACCACATGCAGATTCACGGCACCCCACACTACTGAGCTTCACAATCTGCCCAGAGCCCAGCCTTCTCTCCTGGGTGGACTGCCTCCTTCCGATCCATTTTATCCCCTAGGAGTCCTTTCCTCTGTGTTTAAAATTCCAAAGGGCTCAGCACTGCACCTGGAGCTGGCTCACATGAAAATTCCCAAGTTTTGGACAAGTTCTCCCTCCAGACTGGTCGGGAGTGCAAGGTGCAAAGTGCAATGCTAGGTGCAATAGTCTATAGTCCTAGTCCTCATGTCCACTCAGCCAGCCCTTGGTGAGCCTCAGCCTTCTCTATGAAGTAAAGTAGTGGGTTGAGGAAAGAGATTATGGGCCAAACTGCAGATCCCACCTCCACCCCAGCCCCCAGCTCACCTTCCGTCCAGGAGACAGGGCCAAGACTGCATACCAAGCATTGTGCCTTGCTGCCCAAAGTTCGCTGCGCTTTTCTGCCTCCTTGGCCCAGGAGAAGTGAGAGCCCCCATTATCCTGAGTGATTGCCTCTGCAGTAGGAACAGAAAGGCTGATCCTTAGTCCTGCACTAGGACAGCCCAGGCCCCACAGGCACCACCCTCCCCAGCACACCTGTGCGTTGTAGCTGTTCTGCTAATGATTGCTGGGAGCCATGGAACTCCAGGAAAAGTGTGGGTGCCACGGGGCAATTCAATTTGCTGTACCTGTTGCAGGCATCCATCATGACATCATCCAGGAACTCTGGAACCAGGGAGGGGGCTGGTTAGGTGAGCCCTGGCCTTCTGTGGGGGCATTTTCTACAGAACCCACCCCAACTGACCCAGTCCTTAGCTCACCAATGCGGGCCACAGGCACTGCAGATTGGAGGATCTGAACTGTGCTGTCCACTGCAGCTTGAACACTGGGGAATGCACAGGTGGCTGCCACTGTGGCCTCAGGTGCAGGGTGCAGGCGCAGGGTAGCAGATGTAATGATGCCCAGAGTCCCCTCTGAGCCCACAAAGAGTCCCGTGAGATTGTAGCCAGCCGAACTCTTCCTGGGCCGAGGGACACAAAGGTAGGTGAGTGTCAGGACATGTGAGTGATTTCTGTCTAGAAGCCTAAAGCTAGAAGGCAGGCTTGGACCGAACTCCTACAGCCCCAGTTGTCGTCAATGTTTGATTTAATGACCAGATAGGCCTTGCACAGGGAGAGTCACTGTCACTGGCCCTCCAGACAGTTAAGAGCCTTCCGAGTATCACTCACCTATCCAGGAGGCCCCGAAACAAGGCCAGGCATTGCTCACCTATAATGGCGACCCCGGCCCGCAGTGTGAAGCAGCCTGCCATCAGGCAGCACCACCTCCAGGTTGAGCACGTTGTGGCGCATGGTTCCATAGCGCACAGCATTGGTGCCTGAGGCCCCTGTGGCTGCCATGCCACACAGAGAAGCATCTGCACCTGGGTCTAAAGGAGAAAGTGCTGCAGAGGGCAACTTGGGAAGCTCTTTCCCTCTTGTGGGAAAGATGGGGTCCTCTGAAGTCTCCCAGACAGCGCCCCCAAGGCCTCAGGATCCTGAGGAAGTGGTTAGTCCCAGGCCTACCAACAGGAAACCAAAGGCCACTGTCTCGCAGGTGGGTGTTGAGAGCTTTCCGGGTGACGCCAGGCTCCACCACCACAGAGAAGTCTTCTGTATTCAGCTCCATGATGCGATCCATATGGGTCAGGTTCATGCACACTCCACCCTGGTAGCAGGGATGCCAAGAAGGTTACCCAACTAGGTCTCTAGGCCAGGAGCAGCCCCTAAGACTCCATTCTGTGGCTGAGGCCCCCAGAAGTCACACCAGAGCTCTAGGATAACAGGTGGAGGAGTCATAAATGTGCCATGTGTAATGGGCCTGGGCGCAGGACACCCCACTATACCTGCACAGCGCAGACTCCCCCTTCAACACCGGTGCCAGTGCCAAATGGGATGATGGGAACACCTTGGTTGTAGCACAGGGTTGCCAGTTGGCTGACCTGGTCCACATTCTGAGGCCACACCACGGCATCAGGAGGTTGACACCTAGAAGCAGGCAGGCCTCAGAAGTTTGGGAAGGTGTGGCAGCCCCTCGCCCTCTCATTTCCAGGAACCTGGAGTTTTCCAGGGACCTGAGGACTGGGCCTCAGCAGATGGGGTAGAGAGCACCTCTCTAAGGAGCATGCCAGCACATTCCAAACAGGTGGCAAGAGACAAGGACAGCCCAGGACCCTAGGTCCCAGCAGCAGCTTTTGATACCTGTGCATTGACTCGTCGTGCCCATGGTGCTCTCTGACGGCAGAAGCAGTAGAGACATGGGGGCTCCCTACAACTGCCTTCAGAGCCTCCACAAAGTCCTGGCTGAGTCCTCCCTGCCGGAAAGAACCGGTGCAAGGGTCATAAGAAAGATAACAGGAGCCACAACCCTGCCCTGTAGCAAAAGAATGTGAGCTGGTCATATTGCAAGATGACGTCACAGAACCCCGAGAAATTCACACCGGGCTCCCCACCCTCCAAGGACCCCATCCACACATAGACATATACCTGTGACCCCCTGGAGCAGTAGCCCCTCCAGGGAGACAGCCTCTGGGTTGCCACTCGAAGGAGCTTAGCCATAGCCAGACCACAGCTAAGGTGCGAGTTCTAGGACGGGGAGGAGGCAGTGCCCGCCAGCCTCTAGCTGGGACCAATGGCCGTACTGGGTGGAGCCTGTTTAAGGTGGAGCTAGCTTAAGGTGGTCCCTGCAGATCTGGAAAACAAGGACAGCAGCCGCTTCCGTGCCTTAAAAGTCAAGTGCTTCCTGTAGCTCTTCAAGCACAGACTCCTTGTGTGGAGACTTTAAAAGTCCCACTGATTCCTTGGACTTCTCCGTCTATACTTCCAACTTCCTCTTCGACCTCTAGGCTCTAGTTTCCCTTTTCATTCCAGAGCTCAGGCCAGGTTCATGACCTTGACACATACACTGCACCCTGAGATAT